AAAAAACTTAGGAACATTACCTGTTAAATGTGAATAGCCATAGAAAGCTGCTGTCTTCTGACCATACATTTGTTCCATTAATCTTGATGGATTAGTAGTATCACAACATGAATATTCTTCACGCTTACAAAAATCACATTCACCACATGCAATATCAAAAGCAACAACAACTCGTTGACCAACATGTAATTTTTGTACTTGATCACCTATCTCTTCAATTATACCCATAAATTCATGACCAATTATATCACCATCATGCATATCTATAATATTATTATTATAAAGATGTAGATCAGATCCACAAATCGTAGTAGCTGTTATTTTGAGAAGAATATCACGTGGATCAGTAATTAATGGCATTGGCTTTTCTACATATTCCACATGTCGTATACCGCGCCATACAATAGCATGTTGTTTGCGTGATTCGTCATAGCAAGGGTGTGTGGGTACTCTAGAATAAACATTGAATTGTTTAATTCATATACTTTCTGTAATTTTCAATCTTTGACCATATGAAGTTATATTCTTTGTTATGTTTTTTGGAATATGATAAAGGTCAATAAGTATGATATAAGTACTGAAATAATTTTTAGAAAATACTTACGATGTTGGTGCATCACCTAATGCCTTCTCTTGTAGTTTTGACATAAAATTCATAATAATATTTTTGTGTAGATAAAAAAAAATAATAGACAACTTTAATGATAATTTACAAAATAAGTTGCAAATGTTTAGAAAAAAAGAAGGGATGTGCTTTTTATATATCGAGCTTATGTCTAATTATATACGTCGTGTTTAACTCATGTGGGTCGTTGAGTGCAAAACATATTGAAAAGAAGAAAAAAGAGAACGGTAAAAGGCAAGCATTTTTAATCAAACATTTTATCTAATGATGTCGCACCTATAGTTTGTATTAATATCATTAGAACCCTGTCAGACAAACTTTTTCATGTTCCAAATCTCGAAAGCTCTGTCTCGAATTTTATTTGAACTGTCACGCACGTTAACTGAGAGAAATATAAAGTTATCATTTTGTCTCAGAAGGATTCGTATTTTCTCTATAACAAATAGAAAAAAAAAATGTATTCGTATAGATGATTATTAGAGATATTAGCTATTCTTGGATAAAATGTGGTATAGAAAGTTTTTCCTACATTCGAAGTAATTAATGCAACTATTATGTATCAGCCTTGGACCTGATTATTTTAGCCGCACTGTTTACCAAAATATATAATAATAAGTTGAGTCCACTTGTATAAAGTTTCCGTTGAGCTGAAAATTAAATCATACAGTTCTTATAATATTTCATACAAAAACTTTTCAACGTTAATGGTTTTGAGTTTTATTAATATTACTGTTTTCAACGTCGAAATTGTTTATAATGAACAGCAAGTTATATTTTGTGAAATTCATTGTTTTCAGATGTTACCATCATCATCAAAGAAGTGAAATATTCACTTAAAAGTTATATTTATTCATATATATTTTCTACCAAATGTATGAATAATTCTAAACCAAATTGAAACACATGATTTTTCTTCTTTTATTTCGAAAACAATTATTTAACAATGGATCAAGATGAAATTTTATACAATTAAGATTACATTTATGGTTATACGTATTGGTGAAAACCATCAGCTTAGATGGCCGAGTACCAGCGAAAATATAACGGTTGCATTATTTTCTTCAAGTGTATGATTAATTTTGCGTTCGACTGTTTACTACTGGCAACACAATACCGTAAGACGAGCGTGTCTAAATGCAGATAAAATCAATAATTTTCTATTTATCAAATAGATGTTTGAACATTAAAAGAAATTTACTTGTGGAAAAATTGATCTTTTCGATCGAAATATATATTGTTCAATTTATTTCATTGTTCCATCCATCAGTAAATATTGTATGGAGTCAAAAAAAATTATTCTTTGAAGAATTTCAATTGATTTAAAATAAGTATTTTATTCTTAAGTGAATATTACGTTTTTTTAGTATAGTTAAAAACTAAGTGTAAAATTTTTCCGTTCATTAGATGATTTCAGAATAACTTGCAACATCAAATAAAAAAATTAAACTGATAAATAGATTACCAACAACAATATAATATAAGTTAAAGATTCGAGAAGATATATATAAAACTGTTACATTTGGTAACTGAAGATTATTTAATGTTTTGATAAATTTTTGAACTCGATGGTGTCCTGGTATTGATGACACGCTCCGATGATTTTCCTTCCTCCTCTCTCTCCATTGTTCTAATCTATGTTTATCTCTCTTTCTCTCTCGTATATATACCCCCGGAAAAAAATAGTCTCTGCCTTTATTTCAAATATATTGTCACTATAATAACATATTTTTTTAAAATCAATTACGTATTATGGAACCTGCGGAGTTTTCTATAATCCTGTATATTCATGTTGTAGTTTGTACTTGGTCATTAGAAAAATAAATCGAGAACAATGAAGACACCCTCATGTCCAGGTTTCCAAAAACAAAATTTTGTTACTATCATGAAAATTAGTTTTTAAACTTTTTTTACCATTAGAGTAGTGTTTTTTTTTTAAAAGTAATTATAAAAGAAATCGGCAGAATAATAAACGGAAAAAACGTTTTCGATAGGATATAAAACCAAAGAAGGGTTTATGAATTTGCAACGAGACAAAAACCCTTTTTTTTCGTCTATGACGAAGATAATAAATGGTTTTTCCGTTTATGATTTGAAAAAAGGGTTTATCAGATATTTCAAAAACGGAAAAAGGGTTTGTGTCCCGTTGCAAATTCATAAACCCTTTTTTACAGTGTACCCTATGAACTTTCTACCCTAACCTTACCCTACTCTAAGGACTTTCTACCCTAACCCTACCCTGCAGGACTCTGCTTTGAAGTCGGTTTTCTTTTGAGCCTGTCCACGTAAAACGTCATTCCGTCACGCTTTGTTTCTTTCATTACGTACAAACTACTCAGTGTCTAGGATCAAATGTTTTTGCAGCTTTGGACCAAAAATTGTGCTTTTCAAAATGAGACATTGCAAAGCTGTCCACGACTCCTTATTCACTACAAACAGAGAGTGACGGAATAACCCCCTCCGTGGACAGGCTCTAATTTATTTTTCCTTCTACCCAGAAATTTCAAATCAAAATATCTTATTAATTTTGATCTCAGTAAGCTATGGATAGATATTCACAGCAATTATTCTGTAAATACCACGAGCATCTTTGAGGAACGTGATTTTGTCATTTGTTGACATTTCTTTGAGTTCGTTGCGTATGGCTTCACCAATTTCAAGTTTCGAATTTGGCTTTTAATTAGCTTGAGAATCGAATGAGATCGAGAACAACTGTTTTACAGTTTTGTTCGTCAATAAGTCATCTTTAATGAAACTGATCAGTACATTACGAAATAAATCACTGCACTCTTCGAAGAGCATATGAACCAACGGTTACTATTGCTGTAGCCACGTCAGAGGTTTCAAGAATATATGTCGATGTACGTAGAGAACGAAATGGAAGTGAACGAATGTTTGCTTTTGGTCGAGCGGATTCTTGATTCGTGTCCATCTATCATTATCCATAATTTTTTTGTCGACCTTTGGTAAATAAACGAGGAAACATTTCGTGAGAATCAGCCATTGAGCGATTACCCGTTCGATAACTGGACCTACTTCGATCCAACGAGTGATCACAAAGCGTTTCATAAATCGGCCAACGCCATCGCCAACAGTTTCCACTACGTTTAAGTAATCCTCACGCCGAGCAGATGATCGAGAAAAAAAATCAAAAATCGTACAAAATACCTTCGATTTGCCAGTCGTTTTGTGTGAAACCTCGTTTGAAAGCATTGTGAATGACATGGAGTGGACAAGTCCGATTGAAACTAAACCTTTGTTTGGTACATGCCCTGTTCTGTAAACAAAACATATAGAATTAATCTTGCTTCTGTCTCTACCTCCAAAAAATTACTTTTTCTCTCGCGCAGATCGCACTTCCTCCTCCATCAGGGTTTCAATCGCCTTACTGACATTGGGATTGTCCCTACCTGTAACAACAAAAATGAGTATATGGTATATAAAAGAAAAGATTAACTCACTCAATTGAAGAAGTTTAGACAAGTCGATTCCTTCAGATTTCAATGGATAGAGTAAATGGTGGCCGATAATGTCAACTGTCGCATGCCCAAGCATAATAATTTTCCAATATCGTGTTACAACACCCTGTTTGTATTCGCTCCAGTATCGAATCTGCAAATCCAGTTGCTTTCGTACTCCAGCAAGTGTAGTCTCATCGAAAAGTAACGAGTAATACGAAGCTTTAAGTACATCTTTGATGAGTTCACACATAAAAAATAATCAGTTCTATGTGATACCACATAAGAAAGCTTACGATCTTTCATTGCATAATCAACAGCCACTTTACTGTCAGGAAACATCGACGCAAAAAGTTCACGAATATTCTGTGATGCAGTATAATTAAAATCAAGTTATGCTGTTGCCATGGCCCAATAACACTCGGCACGAGTAACCTTTTCATCATGCGTCAACGCCCGATCAGTATTGTTGCTGAGTATCATGAAGGGCGGATTGTTTGTTATTGTCGACGAAAAAGTATCAGAAGGCTATTTTTCGGTGGTGCTGCTACTCGTAGACAGTAATGCTATGCTAGAAGCAATGAGCTGATTCGATTCCAAGACGTCTTTGAGACATTGTAGATGTTTAGGCCGTTCTGAATGACTATTCACACTACTCCAACCTCCGTTGACACAGCTTAGCTCGATATTGCATACAGTACAACTATTTGAAAATGAATTGTCTGTTGAAAGAAAGCACAAAAAAAAAAGGAATATTCGTTCATTCGTCACTATCTCTATGGTAACGATCATATTAAACATATATTGTCACTGTTTACTTGGACTTTTAATATGAAGAAATGAGAAAAATTCGTCGGTGAATGAATATAAAAAAGAGAGTATAACTATACAAATGCAGAAATAATCGTTTATATCTATGAATGGCGTTGATTACACGTTTCGATGATCTACCCGATTTAGTATTAATCGAATTCTTTTCATATTTATCATCTATTGATGTTCTCTGGGTATTTGCTCGTCTTAATCATCGTTTGACAATGTTAATAACTGAACGAGGTTTCTTTTATCATATTAATTTATCACTTGCACGTCGTCATCAGTTTAATACAATTCTTCGTTGTCTTCCTTTGAAAGATATTCAGTCACTTAGAATTGATAGTGATGCATCTCCGCTTCAATTAACTTGTTGGCCTTATTTGCCTCATTTGAAAATTCTGAGTATCATTGGTGCATATAATCATAATGATCTTTTATTGTTTATTTCACTTCATGCAGCCACACTCACGCATCTTATCATCAAATCAAACGAAAGACTGATACCGGTATGTATTAGCAATTTTGTTTTAATACATGGAAAGCTTTATAAAGAAACAAAATTATTTAAGCAAACGTTAACAAATGTTGAAAAATTGTTCTACTTTTAAATTTGTTCGAAATATCTAGAGTCGAAATAGTAAGAAAATTCTATCAAGAATTACGTGACTGTTATTTGATCGCGTAGAAGATAAACTTTTTTTATTAATTAAAAATTTCAATTTGAACAAAACTGAAATATAATAGGTTAAAGATATCATGAAACATAAATTGATTGCTCTTTTAGATATAAGCAAGAATAAAGTCATTTTTTAGAAAAGAAATTCCTATAAAAATACATTAAAATTCAAATTGTCAGAAATTATCAGAATCAATAAAAAAAAGTATTTAGTTTATGGTTTTATTAACTATACTATCAACACAGACACATGTTATTCAGTTATGTATATTATTAAACATAATTTTAGTACTATGAAATCTGCAACGGAAATACCATAATCGATCATCTTTCATTGAGACATTCAAAGATAAAATTGATTTTTTTCAATTTGGTATAAAAGACGATTCTGCAATAACTGCGTCAAATTATCGAAGCTCTCAATGAAACATAAAATAAAACTAGTCAATTAACTAAAATACGTCACATTTTGGAACACATCTTAGTAATTTTGAATCAATCAAATCTTACTGATAAAAGAATGGAGAGTCGTATAATAAAGTTATTTTATATAGTCGAAGGAAAAATATCTTTAATTGTTCGGAATTTTCAACAGTTTTATTATAGACCGTAAAATTAGCTCTGACATCACTAGGTATAATAGAAAAGTCTTCTATTTGAATAACTATTGAAAACACTTGCATTTTCAAACATAGTAATATTGAAAATCTCCGTAAGATGAAATGTTGAACAAGATAGTTTTTGTTCAACAATAGTGTATAATCGAATGAGACTTGTTTCAAAGAGTCTGAAGACTTCTATCAGTTACGACAGATTGTTTACAGAAAAGTTTTTATGAATGTGTGGATTTTAAAACGATCTAACATTATTAGTTTATAAAGATTTGTCTTAAATAGAAACTTTACTTTGACGATACTTGTTTAAACCAAAGCACTACTACTTTTAATCTCGCTTTCGAAAAAGTTAGTTGGCATTAGTGTTAATTCATCATTCAATGACATTGATGCATTGTTTCTTTTTTCAGGATGGTTTCTCGTTCAAATTAGAATATCCGACAGGTGACCTGATGATGTTAATAAAAAATATTTTTCTTATTCCTTTACATTCACTTCGATCTCTCGATTTTGGCATGAACTATTACGGAACATGTTGGCCCATTACTACTTCAATACTTTCTCTTATCTATCTACGTCTTGCTCTGCCATGTATGAATACTTTTGTTCGTCTTATATCGACAGAGCCCCTCTACGACACATTACGTCAATTACACGTAAAAGTAGGTAATAGTTACTGCAACAGTCGTTCTTCTGTATCAGTGTCTAATCTATCGATTCGAATGGCTAATTTACATACGTTTACTCTTGTTCAAACATTTTTCTCGAAGTTAAGAATTGAATGGACACTTTTCGAAATTTTAACATCTTCAAAAGTTATGCCTGTTCTTCGACGTGCTAATGTGTCTATTTTTATTAATATTAATGATATAAATCGTATTAGTTCGTCACCACTTTTTACTGATCATCGTCATGTTGACATTCATTTCGCTTTTAATCTTATCAATTGTCCTCAGTACATCAAAGTGAAACAATATATTCCACGTGGTAATCGTTTTCATTCACGAGAAATAGTCGGTGCAACATTCGTTGTCAAGTATTTCTCTGACAGATCAAAATGGGTCATTGATGGCGATCCTTTTGTAAGTTTTTGTTCACATTTTTATTCCAAGATAAAATATGAATGAAACTGATATCTTTGTTCTTTACTTGATAATGTAATTTCTATCTAATAATATCTTAATATATTCTTTATATTTATAGAATCGTGGTCATCAATATCATCATCATATGTGGTATACTCTTCCGTGGGCATTTGATGAATTCTTTCACGAATATCTTCCAGATAGATGCATCATGGAAACACAACTGTTTGAAATTCCTTCTCAAACAATGATAACAATTAATCAATCATGCCTTCGTACATTAGATGCATCAGGTCAAATGTTATCGTCACCAATTTGCTTTTTGCCATATGTGGCATTATCCGATTGTATTGAAACATTCCACTTCTCCTATTATAATACATGTATTCCTATATATTTATCTGCTCTTCGCAATATAACTCTTGCGAATAGTACCAATTGTTTGAATTACTGTCGTTCGTTTCCACCAACTATTCGTTCTATTCGTATTTTATTATTTTATACTTATCCTAATTATGCGCCACCAAATTGGTCAGTGGTTTTACATTCACTTTCGCATTTGCCACAACGGAGTTCGCTACGTATATTTATGTATGATTTACCAAAAACTGTCGATGATAGAAGTTGTCAAATAATCGCAGAGATAGCATATTTATTCAGCGATTTCGGTTTTTGCTTTCGACGGAAATTCGAATTTCCAGATGATAACTTAGATCCTGTGTTTAACGACCATACAAAATTTATTAAACAGTTAGGGCATTGTATACTTCTATTGTCTCTTGATGAAGAACCTTATTATTCAATTGAAGATGATGGTTGTGGACTCACAGTGTGGTTGTAATTAATAAATAAATCTGACAAAAACTATTTTCAATTATGATGAATCTAATGAAATGTTTCTTTTTTTTTGTACAAACATTATCAATTATTTCTGTTATCCATTTTTTAATAATTCTATAAAATTCACTGTCACACCACATTATCAAGAAGATAAAAAATTTCTTCTGCTGTAATAACGAATGATTTCCGAAAAAAAAACTAATTGTTTTTTAATGCGGTGAGAAGCACAGCATTTATGTAGTCCTTCGTGTATGCATTCGGCCTCCATACTTTGCATGTATTTTGCCATAAGAAAACCTATACTGTATATTGAGATGATCCAGAGAATGGCGAGTCGCTAAAAAACTCGTTTGAACTTTGCTAGAGAGATCAAGTCCCGAAATGATACAAACAGTTTTTAAATTTCAATATGAGTTTTTATTCATCTTCAGTAAGTTTGGCAAAACGTCGATTTTGACGATTTGGCGTCTATCTTTTTCCCGAGATAATTATCAATAGAGCAGACGAAGGAAGTCGCGCATATCTTTAAACAACTAATGTCGTTCATTACAGCTGTGCTATCAGATGATCGTAGATAATGAATCAGACAGATAATTAAACGATCAATTATTAGTGTTCTTTAGAAATATGTTGATAAGCATTGATAGACTTCTGGTAGTAATGAATTTCCCCATGTCTTTATTTCATTTTGTTTTCGTCTCTGATCAGCTGTTCGAAACGTAACTTTTCTTTATACATTGATAATTCGAAATAGGCGTTTAAAAAAACAGAAGCTATTCTTTAGCAATCATTTTTGTTATTTGTTCAATTCTATAGAGGAAAAAAATATGCTGTGGACAGGACTTGTACTTTTTCAGACGTTCAAGACTCTATGATAGAAGAGGTTAATCAAAATAGATCATAATTAAAATATGTATGCATTTAAGATGTAGGATATAAATGGTCACTTCAAAAATGAATCATCCACTGCCACATAAGAAATCATCAGCTGGTAATTGTTCTTTTTCCAGATATTTATTTCAATTGCTCGGTCGCCATTCGAAATTTTTTCTAGACATTCAAGACTTCATGGCGGATGATTTTAAGTCATCCTAGGTGACAATTAAAATATGTATGCACTTACCATCCTAGATGTGAATGTTCATCTAAAATTGGATCATCACACATACTCATATAAGGAATTATCAGCTGTTAATTATTCAATTTCAGCATTTCTATATCTTCTGAACGTCACTGAATTTCGAAAAACGGATTTCAGATGTTCACTAATCATATTCTCAGGATCTTGTCCATCTTTTTTTTCGCCTGAAAACAATACTCAGAGGCTGAGAACGAGTGACTGACTTGAATCATGACTCATGTGTTGAGAAGAAGAAGAAGAATTTGCCACGGCAACTAAGCGAGTAAAAAGCAATAAATCAGCCGAATTATTGGAAATTATGAGTACATATTTATCTAGTTCCTTTCTTTGTAAATTCAAAATCACTATCGAAAATAGTTAAATTCTATAGGAAATTTGTCAACTCAAATAATTTTTATTCTTTTAAACATGTTTGTTCAATGTTTCCATAATTAATCCATGATGAATGTGTATGATACAATTCTTTTATTAAGTTCAGTTGTAAAAAAAAA